AACCCTGACCCTGACCTAACCCTGACCTGACCTAACTCTGACCCTGACCTGTGGTCATTTCATGTGAATGTAGAGATAGAATCAGAGGTGGAACCAAACTTTCTGCGATCACACATGGGCATATAAATGGTCCGAAGGCCAGAAATGACCTTTTGACCTTTCCAATCTAGCCCTTTCGTAATCAAACCAAAATAGCGTTAATAGAAACATAGTTTAATTTAAAGAGTCAATGAGAATAAGTATGACTTCCAATCTGGCTTTTACCTGTTATCAGCTGTTTGTGTTTTAGTGAATCAGATCTAAACTTTGTTTTGTAACAATGATGGATGATTCACTGAGAGAAAAAAGACCCTAAATGTTGATTTTTTTTTTAACGAGAAGTTCATTATTAAATCCACTCTCACAAGCTTGAGTTCACAAGTTGTAAAAATTGTATTTTGACTCTAGAAATGTGTTCATATAAAAAAAAACAAGTTTCTGAACGAGTTTTTTGATATATTGCCCATTTTACAAAGCAGTCAGTCTAAAATGTGCAGCCACATGATTCTGTCCACCTTATTCCTGGGGGCTCCTCTGTCTAAATGATTATGGGTACAACTTCCTGTCAGACAGGAAGTAGCAGTAAGTGTTGATTAACCACGATAGCAGAGCACGGACCGCGGTTAATTTGAAAGTTATTTGCATTCAGTTTAGCAGATAAAACTCTGTTTTTGTTTTGTTCACATTAATTTAACAACCATAAAGTTTACTAAAATAGCCGTGCTGAGTTCAGGTACCTGTTGTGTTCGCGGCTGCATGAACAACCAGACCAAACTAAATCAGTGGCTACAACAACAGAGTTTGAACATGGACCCAAAACAAAAAGAGTGTTCCTGTGAAAACGGATATAATTTCCATCTCCGTGGCTGAAAAATGTGAACTTGAAGAGACCACCCAAAACTCTGCATGTGAGCACTTTGTTGACAAACGGCCGACGGAGGAAAACCTGCATCCTACTTTGTGTCTGGACGACAATAAACAGTAACACTTTACAATAAGGCACACAAAATTTTATTAACTACAAGTGAACGCCTCAGGAATGAATCGGGAACTAATCAGGAGCTAATGGGTAGTTAACCAGTACTTACTGGGGAACACAGCCAAGCCTTATTAGGGGACTACTGGTTTGTTACCATCAGAAACAGGAGAAATTATCCATGTGGGTTCTGAATAAATCCTGCACCAGTGAGCTCACAGCTCGTAATTGTCAAAAACTTGTTTCCTAATGATGACAGACTTTATTTGATTCTTACCACTGATTAGCAATTTCATAATCTTGTACTGCTTTCATCTTATCTGACTCACTTACTGATACCGAGTTATTGTCTGGCTATTACTTTGTTCACTGATGTAGTGAAGCATCACACCAAGTACTTACTGAGGAACCAGTTATTACTACCTGACCATTACCTGCTGTTTCTGTGTACCCTAAAGTTCATTCATTTATTTAGACACGTAAATCCCATAAAATAAATCCCAAAGTAAAGTGAAGCATCACACCAATTACATTGTTAATATCTTTCATCAGTAGGTTTACAAAACAGAAAATCCAATAAAATCTGTAACCACTAAGAAACAGGTTATTTTTATAAAGAACACCTACTGACTTTGTAAAATATTCTTTTTTGAAATCCCTGAGCCATCTTTACAAAATAACCTGCAGTGTCAGTCAAATCTTTTTCTTTAGTGATCTCAGGTTATTTTTGTTTCCCAGTCCCTTTGTCGTTTTTCCTCAGTGTGAGAGGGAAACAGGAGGCGTCAAACGTCTGCACTGAATCAGAAGATCAAAAGTGAGTCATCAGCTCAGTCTGAATCTTTAGAAATGAAACTGTCCCACATTCGCATGGAACCAAAGGTCTTCGGGTGCGTTTCAGTGTGAGACTTCTTCATTGGTATCACCTTGCAGATATTTGATCACCCGCTCTGTATTGATTAGCTTTATTTATCTGATGGTACATGAAGAGCCATCCACCCTTTGTTTGGTTCCTTTCAAGGTCGTGGGGGCGGAGCCTGTCCAACCTACCATTTTTCAAGTAATAACAAGACGGACAAAAGTCAGTAGACCCTAAACCCTGACCCTAACTGCCCTGAGCTTGTCCACCTGTAATCTGTATAATTCTACCTTTACCACGCTCACCCTTCACCTGCTGTTGACTGAAACAGGTTGTTTGGAAGAGGGATGGATGGATGAATGGATGAATGGATGAATGGACGGATGGATGGATGAATGGATGAATGGACGGATGGGTGATCGGACAGATGCATGGAACCAAACAAATGTGAATAAGTGATGTGTGTCCCTCCACAGGAGCTGATCACAGCCTGGTACATCGGCTTCCTCTGTCTCATCTTGGCCAGCTTCCTGGTGTATCTGGCAGAGAAAGAAGACAACGAGCAGTTTGAGACGTATGCTGACGCTCTCTGGTGGGGACTGGTGAGATTTACACACACACACACACACACACACACTTGTTTGGTGAAGTAGAGAGGCTGTTCCTGCTCTGGGCCTCGCAGCAGTTCTGGCTATGTTGAAGAGGCAATGACGTCCCATCATGGAGGACAACATGTGCAGGTGCAGTAACGTCCCACTGAGGGGACAGTACAGGGGCAGGTGACCTGAGCGGTCTTTCTCCGTACCTTTCAGATAACTCTAACAACTATTGGATATGGAGACAAGTTTCCAGTCACCTGGAATGGACGTCTGCTGGCTGCAACCTTCACCCTGATCGGAGTTTCTTTCTTCGCTCTGCCAGCTGTGAGTCCTTTTATTAGAATATTTCCAGATGTTCAGCTTCCAGCTCTCCAAACAGCTCCAGGGGCTGGTGAGCCTGAATGTTGCAGTCTGACGTGCACACACTTTGGTAAACAAAAGTTTAATACCAACACAGTATTTTTTAAATACTGTTTTAATTGACATGTTCCTGTTTTTAGTATTTTTATCCTGTTTCATAATATAGCTTATTTTATGTCACTACTTTTATTTACTTTTCATTTTATTGCTGTTTATCGTTGTGTGTACCTCGTCTGTGGTTTGTTAAAAACAGGTCTCTCTTGTAAATGAGTCGTCGTGACTCACTGAGACTGAAATGTAGAAATAAAGGTAGAATTAATGAAAAAAACATTTTTCAACATTAACCATGAGCGCTTTTTTTAGTCACAGACTTCATTAAAATGAGAGCAGGATGGAAAAGGCTTGACAAAGAACTCCTTGATGGCCACCTTCAGTGGACACATTTGAGGACAAAATCTCCTTCACTAACGTTGTTGACTCAATAACGAACCACAAACTCTACACGGCCAGCGTACCATCATTCAGTGTCACAGAATTACCCCCAAACCTGTTCCTCTGTTGACTTTTATAACATCATCACAACATTTCAGTGGGTGTTCTCTGTCTCTCACGAGGGCATCAAGGAGACGCAGCTCAATTCAGTTCAGTTTATTTATAAAGCTCCAAGTCACAACAGAAGTCATCTCAGGGCACTGAACAGAAACATTCATGTACCGGTACATAAAAAGCTCAGAACCGTGTGTTCAGTCCAAGTCCGCCTCCAGGCCAAGAAAAGGAAGTTTATACATCAGGCAGGAGAGCCAGATGTCCTCAGTCACAATATAAAACATTCATAACCCACGATATAGAATATTTTCTAACATTAAACATATGACCTGTATGTTTATTGGCTACATATTTGACCTGATGCTGGATATTCAAGATATTTCCAGCTGAACAGACTCCAGTTTGGCTCCTTGATCAGATTATCCTTGTTCACCTAAATGAAGCTTTTCGTTTAATCGTCCAGGAGCTTCTAAAGCTAAAAAACAATCTTGTGTTTATAAGCATGTCCTTGATTGATGCACATTTATTGATAACTCCAATTAACTGTCTTAGCATCCAAAATATTTTATTGTATTAGAACACTCACCTGTTCCAGTTCAATAACTGGAGATGACCTGATGTTTGGCCTTAGTGTAACTTTAGTTCATACCAGAGTTTAGGGAACCTCCATTTACCTGTCTGATGCTCACCTGTCTGTCTTCAGGGGATTCTTGGTTCTGGATTTGCTCTGAAGGTTCAGGAGCAGCACAGACAGAAACACTTTGAGAAGAGACGAAATCCAGCAGCTGGACTCATCCAGGTGAGTCTCTCACACATTGCTCAGTGACTGGTTCGATGATGAAGGTGATAAGGTTCAGGGTCTTTGTCTCCCACCCTCCTGAGGGTCATCAGTGTCTTTTTCTCCCTCCTGAGGGTCATTAGGCTCTTTGTCTCTCTCCTGAGGGTCATTAGGCTCTTTGTCTCTCTCCTGAGAGAGGGAGCTCTTTGTCTCCCTCCTGAGAGTCATCAGGCTCTTTGTCTCCCTCCTGAGAGTCATCAGGCTCTTTGTCTCCCTCCTGAGGGTCATCGGGCTCTTTGTCTCCCTCCTGAGGGTCATCAGAGTCTTTGTCTCCCTCCTGATGGTCATCAGGTTTTTTTCTCCCTCCTGAGGGTCATTAGGGTTTTTGTCTCCCTCCTGAGGGTCATCAGAGTCTTTGTCTCCCTCCTGATGGTCATCAGGTTTTTTCTCCCTCCTGAGGGTCATTAGGGTTTTTGTCTCCCTCCTGAGGGTAATCAGGCTCTTTGTTTCCCTCCTGAGGGTCATCGGGGTCTTTGTCTCCCTCCTGAGGGTCATCGGGGTCTTTGTTTGGCTCACCGAGAGATGACTCTGACCAGGAATCAGCCTTAATGCTGCAGTGGACGTTTGAAAAAGCTGAAATGTGTGACCTCCTCATCTCGTCAGCGCTTTTTGTTTTTGTTTGTTTGAAGTAAATGTCTTCCTTCACCCCGCTCTCAGACCATCTGCCTTGTCTGTCCAACATCTGGGTCTGTTGGTCCTCAGCAGAGAGTCTCTTGTCTTTTGGGTGTAGTTGAACCGCTGTTCCTGGTTCTGAAGAACTGCTCTCTGGTGTTGAGCCATGTGTCTGTGGAGATGTTGTTTAGTTTCTCCAGTGTCTGAACGTTCCTTGCTGCCCTGACCTGCAGACACACCTACCACCTATCAAGGTCACCTAACATCACCATGAAGCCCACCATGGCGTCTGGCTTGTCAGGAGTCTCAGACTCTGAGATTTGATGGTCCTCCTCGGCCAGTCCAGGCCAAGGGAGAGGAGACAAAGTCCTTGTTTTCATTCATCTAGAAATGATTCTGAGAACGGAACGAACCCTAACCCTAACTCTTCAAACACGTGGACGTGGACAAACTTCAAGTGTTCATCCCCACAGTGCACCCACAGAACACGTGCACATTCACCAGAAGCCACAAAACTATTTTTCAAGTTTGTGTTTTTAATATTTTATTTACATTTATCTTTTGTGGTTTTCTGCACCGTAGATGTGAGGGAAATGCCATTTGGAGCCTCTGTGCGTCTGATTTTAGCGATCTTGACAGTAAAGTTGACTTTGATGAAGGCGGGCAGCGGAAAGTCCAAACGGTGCAGCATCGGACTTGGTTCCAACCCTCTCATGGTTAATTATATTTTATAACAAACTACAGTGAATACCATGAATTATTGAAAAATTAAACTAGATATAAATATTTACTAAACTTTAACTTAGGTATATTTATTCCAACCTAAAGTGAATGAGCTCTGAGTTATATCAGCGTAAAGAAATATACGTTAATGTTCTTCTTCTGACTAATTCATAATTCATTCAATCTTTTAAAGACTGAACCTCTGTCTGAGTAGCTAACACCCGCTAAGCTAATGTTGGACTGGACCAGCTCAAAGCTGAAGGGGTGGCATGTTGGTTTGGGGTGGGGGGTCAAATTTAAACCAAGAAACACTCCAAGCTTTTGTCAGATTGACAGGAGAGCCAAATACATTTTTAGATCAAAATATTTTGCACTCCCACTTTGAAAAATGGGGGAGGAGGTGGTGCACTGAGCAGGATGGATGTGGTCTTATTGTGCACATCTCTGGATCTACAGGCGGCCTGGAGAGTCTATGCCACCAATCTGAGCCGAACTGATCTGACGTCAACCTGGGATTATTACGAGAGGACCGTGTCGGTCCCCATGTACAGGTGCGTTCTTACCTTTAGACCATCTGTTTCCATGGATGTCCCAGCCGTACCTTTATCAGCTGCCTGTGTCTCCAGGTTGATTCCTCCTCTCAATCAGCTGGACCTACTGAGGAACCTGAAGAACAAATCTGGACTTTCTTTCAGGTCTGTGAGAGTCTCTATAAGAATCAAAAACCTACAAGGAATGAACCGAAACCACCGGTCCCAGCTGAAAGAAATGTGTAAAAGCACCAACCAATTGATCTGTATGAGAAGGTTCTGAAAGTGTTTACTGAGAAACCAGAACAGGAACCAGAGCAGCCTGAGCCATATCTAATAGGACCTCAAGGGTCAGCTGGATGCTTCTGGGACCTTCAGATATCTGACAAAATCTGGAGCACCAGAAACATTTCAGTCAATAGGTCATAATATAATGGCTCATTGTAGGTTTCTGGTCTTCAGACCAAGAAAATAATCTATAACTGTTTCTGTCTGCAGGAAGGACGTCCAGCCAGAACCATCGCCGAGGTCAGCCTTTGGTTCTTCTGTGATCTGAGTACAGTTCCAGATGTTCAAAGAGCATCTGACAACCCCAGCTGCTCACATCAGAAAATGATTTTGACTCCTCAGTCTCTGTAGCTAAGGTGGTTTTTTCAATTGAGCCTGGTACCAGGTTCTACCTGCAACTGAAGAAACCAGCCTCTGCCTCACCTGCAGAGGTTGAGTTTACTTGCTTCAGGTGGTCCTGACATTGTGAGTCAGCTCAGGTTCATTACCTCCAGTCCTAAACGGTCCCCTGGGTTTCATCTGGACACATTCTGACTCCATGTCCCCAGGTGAAGTTCTGGGGACAGAGTGTTCAGGAGCTCCCTTACACACTCAGTGCAGTGCCGATAAAAAGGATTCAGCCCCTTTGATGTTATATATTTATATTCATGTAAAATAAGTGACTGCATAAAAGAGGAGTGAAGGGAGTTTTTCCTTTCCACTGTCTCCTTTGTGCTTGCTCAGGATGGGAGACTGACGAAGTGGATATTCAACACAATCTGCTGCTTCCTTAGATAGAGAACTTTCACTAATTGTCTTTTATAATGTGAATGTTTCTGTTCAGTGTCCTGAGTCGACTTCTGTTGGGACTTGGAGCTACAGAAATAAACTACATTTAATAAATATTCACCCCCTTTAAAGTGACTGTCCTAGTTCAAATCAAGAAAAGGTTCTTGAAAAGTACAGCTCAGGGGATGAAGACAAAAGGACTTCCAAGGTCCTAAACGTCTCCAGGAGTTCTGGTAAATTCATCACAAAGACATGGAGGGAATATAGAACATGTGGAAATCTACCAAGAGCAGGCTGTCCTCGCAAATTTAGAGAATGTGAATAAGGAAAATAATAAGAGAGACCACCAAGACACCTGAGACCACTCTGAAGGAGTTACAAGCTTCAGCAGGTGACATGGAGAGACTGAGCATACATCAACCGTTGCCAGAGTTCTTCACCAGTCTGAGCTTTATGGGAGAGACTGAGC